CATCGTTATCCTATGATCGACCCACATACCCAGGTGTCTCTCCTCCTCTGTTGCTTCCAACTGATGAGCCCCCAGTTTGTAGCAGAAATTCTTATTATTAGACCCTACATGCATAACCTTACACTTCGTACTATTGAATTTAATTCCATTTATGTTACTCCAGTCTTCAAGGTTATCCAGATCCTCCTATATAATATTTCAATCCTCATCTGTATTGACGAAGTCTCCCAACTTTTTATCATCAGCAGATTTCATTAGCACACTCCTACTTTTTGTACCAAGGACATTAATAAAAATACCAAATAAGGGAATACCGAATAAGAGAATTCCTTATCCATTTTACAATTCTTGTACTAATCCCCAATTTAACTAATAATTTTCTGTGTGGTACCAAGTCAAATGCTTTACTGAAGTTCAAGTATATTAGATCTTCTGCACTTCCCTTATCTAAAAAAATCAGTTATTTTCTCAAAGAAAGAAATCAGGTTAGTCTGATACAATCTGCCTTTGGTAAACACATGTAGCATTATATCCCCTTTTTCATTTACCTCCATTAATTTAATTATTCTTTCCTTCACAATTTGTTCCAAAATCTTATATACCACTGAGGTTAGACTAACAGGTCTGTAATTGCCCCAATGACTTTATTTTCCCTTTCTTAAATATAGGTACAGTGTTAGCTATTCTTCAGTCATACAGTAGTACTCCTGAATAGAAAGATTTGTTAAAGTCCTTGCTACCAGACTAGCAATCTCATGTTCCAGTTCTTTCATTATTCTGGGATGGAAATTATCTGGTCCCCCAATCTGAGCACATTAAGATCTTTGCGTTTTCTACCACTTCAGATGTGGCAATTTCCATTTCTGTACACTCATGTCCATCAACCATCCTGATTTCTTGCCAATGTTCCATATTGAAAACCGAGGCAAAGTATTCATTTAGTTTTGGGGTCATACCTAGACTATCTATAAACTCTTCCTCATTCACCCTGCATAGTGGCCCAACCTCATTCTTCCTTACTCTCATTTTATTTATATAAGTAAAAAAAATTCTAAATTTTCTTCACAAGAGCTAATTCAGTTTGACTTTTAGAAAGTCTCACTTTATTCCTACATTTTCTAATCTTCAAGGTGTAGCTTTCTTTGCTGATCAATCTGTTTTTCCATTCCCTTTAGGTTCTCTGCTTACTATGGCCAGCCTTTGAGGTGGCTATTCATCTGGAGCTTTTCCATACAGTTTTTTACCCTTGCTTGGGATGCAAATTGTATAGCTGATTTCAAGAAATTCCAAGCCTCCTCCATGTTTAAGACGTGTGCTGTTCAGTCCAGTGACGACTTTAACTAATTCCTGTAATTTCCCAAACAATGCCCCTTTGAAACAAACAAACAAAAAAACCACCACCACATAGTTGATAACCTGGTTTTGATTAGCCTTCCATTTAATTTAAACTGAATCAACTCATGATTACTTGATCCAAGGTTATTATCCAAGGGTTATTCTTACAATCAGCTCTTCTATGATGTCCTCACTCCTTGCCAAAACCAAGTCTGAAATTGAATCATCCATTATTGGTTCAGTAATGATTTGACAATAAAAACTGTCATCTGTCACATCTATCAATAAGTGAGCTCTACCAGTATTAATAGCATTTATTCTCCAGTCTCCATTAGTCTCCCATTATGACACTATTCCCAGTAGTTTTTATCTCTCTAATAGTATTAAAGAGATCTCTATCTATATATGAGTCCAACCCAAGGGTTTTTAGCAGATCCCTACCACTATCCCAGTGGAACCTCTTTTACAGTCTTTCCCCAACACGATTTTCACCCAAACAGATTCTGGTTTGTCCATACTACTGAGAGAGCAAAACAGTGTATTGCATTCATTGTATATGTTTCCTATTGGGTGTTTTGTTGTAGTGGCTTTTTAATAATTTTTAGTCAAAATGGAAGTGCTCAGATACTATGATCACGATTGTTGATGTGAGAACCTAGAGAGAGGGGACTTTTGTTGGTATGTGGGGCTGGGGCTGGGAAGAGGCTGTTATGATGTATTTATTGTTATTAGGGGACTTGTTTTTAATACAAGAAGAGTTAGATTTATAACTATCAAGTTATTTCAGAGTCCTGGTATATTATTTTTCTCACTAGAAATGACACAGTTGCAATCTGAGAAGATCATATGTGGTATTTTATTAAATATTGAAATGAGATGAAAGCTTATGTTTTGTTCATCTTTATTTCTGATTAAAGTATATTTCATAAAGGAGGCATTCAGTTGCTAAACACAGCCACTGGTGATTTAGTAAGCTCTTCTGACCTTTGTTGATGTTCTGTTTCCTTTTGTTGTAATTTAGTTGCAGCTGTGCTGTTCAGTTCTGAGGACTCAAGAATATGATGGAGAATAAGAACTTCCTGTTTATGTCAAAGTACATAATTATTACCATGGTTTTGATATAAGTGAACTGAATAGAACTTTTTCTCCAGTGTTGTGCTGTAATGGGCATTAATTAAAAGCCAAAATATAATTAATGCATCTCTCTGATGTAATTAATTTGTTCATACTATTGTGGAAGTAGTGTGTTTTTAATTAAATTTATCTGACACAGAATTCAGATGTGTTTCTGAGCTACAATAAAACTTGGATTCAATTGGAAATTTAAACTATAATAATGTTTCATAATCGTATATAATGCATTTTGTTTTGAAAGATGGATATTTCATATTCAAATTTAAATTTATATTGCATTTTAAATCAATTTGAAATATTTAATTTCTGGAGAAGTGTGTTCTCTCTACAGCAAAATTATTTACTATATTCCAAATAGGACTCTAAATGGTTTTAGGTCTTAAACGGTAGTTTGAGTAATGTGTTTTGAGATCTTTGGATTGTGGCCCTCAAGTGGTATGTTCTCTCCCTTATAAACACAGGGTGAGGGAAGGACTTTGATATGCAGAATATAGCCATTATTTTGTTATGGGTAAAGAACAAATACCTGACAAATAATGAACTTTATTTATTTAGGGGGAAAACAAATCTGAAACGCCAGAAAGATTTTTAATTTAATTTTCTGGAAAAATATCTTGTTCTTGCCCAAACTGGAAGCTAGTGTTCTATCTACCTTGATGTTAGAGAAGGCTGCATAGTTGCCAAGACTTGACATCTTAAATTTCCTGTAGCTCCTGATCTGCTAACGTAATCTCTGACAATGTGATTCTGACAATTAATGTTATTGATAAAAATAATAATCATCATTCAACAAAAATGTTGATTAGTAAAACTACAGTATTTTCAACACGGAGAGATTTGACTTCATTAGTAGTCTTTCCATTTCCATTGAGTTCAGTGGGAGTTGTTACACACATAAGGTGACGGATTTATTTTTACTGAGGCCTGGTCCACACACAGTTTTTGTACTAGTATAATTATTTCAGGAAGCGTGTGCTTTTTTCCTTTTAAAACCAATATCGTTATACCAGTATAACACCTACGGTGGAAGCAGTTATACCAGTATAAATTATTCCCTGTCCTATGCAGAAATAGCTATACAGTACTCATATAAAGCACTTTTATACTTAGTCCTACCTTGAGTTCAGGGGACTGGACTGGATGACCTCTCAAGGTCCCTTACAGTTCTGATTCTATGTGGCTTTGTCCACACTAGGGGACTTGTACTGCTTTTAACTTTACTGGTAAAGTTAAAGTGCTACAATTTCTGTATGTAGACTAATGCTGACACAAGTAAAAGTTTTAATGAACTATTGGATTCAAAAGAAACTGTTTCCCAAATCACTTTATTTTGCTTGACATTGTTTTAGATTTCATTTTAAAACCTTGTGATGTGTGAAGCCAGTGTATGTTTCTTTATGCTTATTGTCACAAAGGCCAATGTTCTAAGGCCTCAATCCTGCAAACACTTTTGCATGTAGGTATTCTACATATGTGAATAGTTGGGACTGTTCACATGCTGGATTAGGGGCCTAAATTATTGCTGAATGTAGTTTTTTTGGAAATTAACTAATTTTTCCTTATACCGTTTTAATCTTAATCCTAGCTATGTTTTTGCTTAATTCCAAAGAAGTGGTAAAATTAGTATCATTTATGACTCTTTAGGCATGCTAAATTGTAAATTTAGGATGAAATTACCTTAGTAAACATTTGTGGCTTAATCCTGAAGTCCTTACACAGAGTTCAAGCAAATACCCCAAATCACATTGGAACCCCATTGTGCTGGACATTGTGTAAATACAAATTAAAATAAAACTGATTATTTTTTTTAAATTCAGTTTTATATATTCTGTATTATGTTAGACATTGTTTGATATTATAGTTTGTTATAATGTAAAAAAATTGGAGTTAATATTTATAGGTGTGAGCTTTTATAATTGTACGTTTGTGGTGTACTTGCAGGTCAGAGGTATTTTGTTAACTGCTCACATTTATTTTTCATTTTTTTCATGTTTTAGTTTTATTTTTATTCTCTTTGTCTTACATGCTTCTCAGCCTACATGTTGTTTTGATTATCAATAATTTTATATTTAAAAAGTGATGCAAGGCCGTCTCTTCCTTCAAAGATGTGGATTGAGATATAGAAGGGAATGTACTCTCAAAACTCATCTATGATCTCAAAATAGTATCTTAGCATGATGATCCAAAATTTAGAGACTTACTGTGTTGCTATGATTGCTGTCTATGACATGATGATTATGTCAGTCAACCCTCTTTTCTCACATTTTCACTTTGTAGTTTTTTTAAAGTCACTTTGCAGACCTTTTAACCTCACTGAGGGTTGAAATTTTCTCTGCATAAATTTCAGTGGCGGGTTGAAATTTTCCCCATATGAACTAGTTTAGCAGTTAAGTAAATTTAGGAGAAATTGCCTATGCCTGCATGTGCTTTGCTTTTCAGAAACTTTTAGTTGCTTGCTTTATTTTTTTTAATTTCTTTATTTTTATGTTGCTGAGTTTTATACATCTATTTTCTCACCTGCCGTATCCTAGGGGGCTTGGAGTACCAATAATACAGTGAGCCCACCTTCCTGGTCCCCAGACATTTCAGAAGGTCGGGACATTTTTAAATCCAGACAGCTTCCTGGCAGTGCCATTTGGAGCATCAAAGTGGTAAATAATTTGTATTTATATTCATGTATCCATTGCTATCTTTCTGCTATAGCGGCTACTAATGAAAAATATGTATAGCTCAACTGAATTAATCTTCCATTTTATCACTGTTAACTTTGTTTTTATAAGAAAACTGTTGAAGTCTGGAGCTTTTAAATTACAAAAATATAAATTTATTGGAGCATATATGGAATGTGATGGCATTGCATAAATTTTGAATTTTATATGGCAAGATAATTTGCATTACCAATTTTTAATGAACTATGTTTTAGTACTTCACGATTTTTTGGCTATTGCTGTTAAATAGCTGTCAAAGAAGTTACTTGAGTGTTCGTCTGTGTGTCCTGAAGACTGCTGGCAGTAAGGGGAGCCAGATTGAAAAGGACTGAGCTCTGGGCTGTTGCAAAGTGTGTTGCTGTGGAGACATCTTGCAAAAGGCATTCACAGTGACATATGTTTAAACTGAGAAAAAAGCAACTATTTGACTGTCTTAGAAGGAGACAGTCTACTGTCCCATTGATAGCTACCATCAAAAGAAACATAAAGAAACTGAGGGCTTGTCTATACAGAGCAGCAATGCACACTTTAGGGGGGTGATTTCTAAAGCACACTAATGTGTGTTAATTGCAAAGTTGCTAGGTGTCCAGTTTTTGACCAGAACACTGGTTCGAAAAGGGACCCTGGCGGCTCTGGTCATTACTGCTGACCGGGCCATTAAAACTCCAGTTGGCATGGGGCTGCAGGCTCCCTACCTGGCTCCGCATGACTCCTGAAATAGGAGACATGTCCCTCAGCTCCTAGGCGCAGGGGCGGTCTCGGGGGCTCTGCGCACTGCCCCCACCTCAAGCGCCGGCTCCAGAGAGCCATTGGCCAGGAACTGCAGCCAATGGGAGCTGCGGGGGTGGCACCTGCAGATGGAGGCAGCGTGCAGAGCCAACTAGCCCCTCCACCTAGGAGCCGAGAGACGTGTCACCACTTCCAGGAGCCGCCTGAGGTCAGCGCTGCCCAGAGTCTGCACCCCGAACCCTCTCCTGTACCCTAACCCCCTGCCCCAGCCTGGAGCCCTCTCCTGCACCCCAAACTCCTCATCCCCATCCCCACCCCAGAGCCTGTACCCCTTCCCGCACCAGAACCCCCTGCCCAAGCCCTAAGCCCCCAGCATCCAAACTCACTCCTGGAGGCCGCACCCCTGCCCCAGCCCTGAGCCCCCTCCCACACTCCAAACCCCTCAGCCCCAGCTTGGAGCCCCCTCCTGATCCCCAAACCCTTCATCCATGACCTCACCCCAAAGCCTGCACCCCCAGCCAGAGCTCTCACCCCCTCCCACATCTCAACCCCCTGCCCCAGCATGGTGAAAATGAGCAAGTGAGTGAGGGTGGGGAGAGCAAGCAACAGAGGGAGGGGGGCATGGAGTGAGCAGGGGGCGGGGCAGGAAGTGGGACAAGGGTGTTCAGTTTTGTGTGATTAGAAAGTTGGCAGCCCTAATAATTGGTCAGTGTAGACCCTGGTGCTGTGCACTAAAAGTTCCCTGGTGTGCTTTTTAGCATAATGCTGTTTCAATCAGCACCACATTAAAGCACACTAGAGAACTTTTAGTGCACACCAGCAGAGTCTACATGGACCAGTTAACACACAACAGGTTGGTGTGCTTTGGAGATCACAACACCTCCACCCCAAAAATAAATAAATAAAAATGTATGTTGCTGCTCTGTGTAGATATGCCCTTACTGGGATTATTACAACACTAAAAAGAGAGAGAGAAAAAAATTAATGAAAAAATATAAAACCATAAGTAGGTTGCTGTCGATTTCAATTGATTTATTTTCATCTCACTTTAATTATCATGCTAATTTGCTTTATTTTAATTTGATATTAGCTTAGCTATTGCTGCTTGAATTATTAATTTTCAGCATAATGTCCAGCATTAACATTGGTACAGTTTTGTGCCATTTCTGTCACAGTGTTAGGCTTGTGAAAATAACAATACTGATGTGCAATCTAAAACACAAAATGTTAGGAATTTTCAGAGCATTTTACTTCTAAAGAAAGTCAGTCTTATATGCAGTGTGTGTATATTACTCTGTATACAGAGAGGGAGAGAAATTAAACTTTTCACTTGGCTACTCAAAAAAACTTTGACCCTCAACACCTTCTTCCTTATTCTTATTTCTAAAATACTGTGTGATTGCATTGCCTGATACTGCACAGTTACTTTAATTTATAGTTCCAATAATATTGTTACTAGTGGAATATTTGGATTCTATCTGGCAATAACTATCACCACAAATTTCTACACCAGGGGTTCTCAACTGTTTTCTTTCTGAGGCTCTTCCAACATGCTGTAAAAACTCCATGGCCCACCTGTGCCTCAACAACTGTTTTCCTGCATATCAAAGCCAGGATCAGCGTTAGGAGATAGCAAGCAGGGCAACTGCCTTGGGCCCCACACCACAGGGGCCCCCATGAAGCTAAGGTGCTCAGGCTTCAGCTTCAATCCTGGGTGGTGGGGCTCAGAGCACTGGGCTTCAGCCCTATGCATTGGGGCTTTGACTTTCTGCCCTGGACCCCAGCAAATCTAATGCCGGCTCTGCTTGGCAGACCCCCTGAAACCTGCTCGTGGCTCCCCAGGGAGACCAGACACCTGACTGAGAACCACTGTTCTATACCTTCTATAAAAATAGGGGATGGTATATCTGAAAATACTATTGGCCCTATTGAGGCCATAATGTTACCTTCAATCCATGACAGGTTTCAGAGTAGCAGCTGTGTTAGTCTGTATCCGCAAAAAGAACAGGAGAACTTGTGGCACCTTAGAGACTAACAAATTTATTAGAGCATAAGCTTTCGTGGACTACAGCCCACTTCTTCGGATGCATATAGAGTGGAATAAATATTGAGGAGATATATATATATACACATACAGAGAGCATAAACAGGTGCTCTCTGTATGTGTGTATATATATCTCCTCAATATTTATTCCACTCTATATGCATCCGAAGAAGTGGGCTGTAGTCCACGAAAGCTTATGCTCTAATAAATTTGTTCGTCTCTAAGGTGCCACAAGTACTCCTGTTCTTCAATCCATGGACTCTTATTAATATCAACAGAAGCTGTACACTTGGGTCTAGAGCAGTGGTCACCAACCGGTTGATCACGATGGACTGGTTGATCCTAGAGGATCTCCCAGTCAATCGCGATCTCTGGTGGTGCAGTGGGGCTGCCACTAGGGCAGGCTCCCTGCCTGCCCCGGCCCCTCGTCACTCCCAGAAGTGGGCAGCATAGCCCCAGGCTGGGGGCAGGGGTTCCCTCTGCGCGCTGCTCCTGCCTGCGCAAGCACCTCCCCTGCAGCTCCCATTGACCGGGACCAGGGAGCTGTGACCAATGGGAGCTGCGGGGGCAGTGCTTGCAGAGAAGGGCAGCGCATGGAGCCACGTCCATTCCCCCCTCCACCCCACCTCGCAGGGGTGAGTTGGCCCCTTCCAGGAGCGGCATGAGGCTGGGGTAGGCAGGGAGCCTGCCTTAGCAGCAGCCAGGGCCAGCTCCAGCATTTTTGCCGTCCCAAGCGGCAAAGCCAAATAAATAAATAAATAAATAAATAAAGCCGCGATCGGTGGTACTTCAGCAGCAGCTCTACCGCGCCACTTCATTCTTCAGCAGCAATTCGGCGGCGGGTCTTTCCCTCCGAGAGGGACTCGCCGCCGAATTGCTGCCGAAGATCCGGACGTGCCGCCCCTTTCCATTGGCCGCCCAAGCACCTGCTTCCTTTGCTGGTGCCTGGAGCTGGCCCTGGCGGCAGCCACGCTACACCACAGACCAGGAACTGCCGGAGGTAAGTGCTGCCTGGCAGGATACCACACCCTAACCCTGACCCCTCTCCCAGAGCCAGCATCCTGTACCCCATCACTCTGCCACAGCCCAGAGCCTCCCAGAGCTTGCACCCTCACCCCCTCCTGCAACCCAACCCCCTGCCCCAGGCTCAGCCCAGAGCCTCCTCCCACACTGCGAACCCTTCAGCCCCAGCCCAGAGCTCATACCCCCTCCCAAACCCCTACCCCAGCCCAGTGAAAGAGAGTGAGGGTGGGGGAGAGTGAGCGGGGCAGAGCATGGGGAAGGGGCAGGACCTCGGGGAAGGGACAGGGTAGATTCTGGGTTCCCTTAAGTTCAAAAAGTGATCTTGGGCATAAAAAGGTTGGAGATCACTAGTCTAGAAGAGCGGTTCTCAAACTGTGGGTCAGGACCCCAAAGTGGGTCGCATTAGACTTGCTGGGATCCAGGGCTGAAGCCCGAGTTCCACCCCAACCCAGGGTGGTTGGGCTCAGGCTCTGCCCCACCCCCGGTTATGTAATAATTTTGTTGTCAGAAGTGGGGCGCGGTGCAATGAAGCTTGAGAACCCCTGGTCTAGAGCATCTTCCATTGACATTAATGAGAGTAACATCGTTCAAAGGCAGTACGTGCCTTTTATTGAGTGAATTGTTTTCTCTTGGTGTTTTTGGCATCTTAAAATAGTTTGAAGCAAGCATTCAGATAGTGATTGTAGACTTGTAGATATTTTGTGGACAGCAAAACTAAGTTAGAGTAGAGTAGCTGTTAACATAGATTTGTTAAAAGGCATTTAAGACAAGGTCAAACGCTATGTATTGAGTAGTAGAAAAGCATAGTATGAAATCTGCTGTATTGAATATATACCTTGACACTCATTGTATAAGAACAGAACAAAAGGTCTAAGGTATATGTAATCTGTTCAAATCTGGACAGAAAAATATCGGCCACAATTCTATAGAGACATAGCCAATAATAATGTTTTCCTCTTTTGGAAGTGATCAGTGAGTTTTTTGTGTTTTTCTTTTGCTTTGTTTTATTTAGTTTTTCCAGTTCAGTGTGAAAGCCCAATTAATTAACAATAATAATGTCAGGTAATTAACACTGAAAAAGTATGAATTTTACTTCCCACCCTCACCTCCCCCAAATTCACTGTATTTGAATTCCCCTCATCAGTTAAGGGATACCTCATGAGTTAAGGGATCCCAACTCAGCACTCACACCAAGCATCTACAGATTAAACAAGGGTGGGAAAAAGAAGAAATCACTAGCAATAAGTATAAATATTACAAATAAAAATATAATTTTAGTATTATAAATAATATTTTCTTTAGGGTATTAAACAAATTAAACACTAAAATCTTGATCTTGTTCCCATTGAATCAGTGGGAGTTTAGTCACTGACCTCTGTGGAAGCAGGGTTAAGCCCTAACAATTTTTAATGTGTGTGTGACTATTTACAGCTAAGAAGTGTAGCTACTGTATAACCAGTAAAGTACTAGGCAAGAGGGAGAAAATGTATTTCAATATTACCAGCTGTGCCTGTATAAAACTTAAGGTGTTAGAAGTTTTAAGTACTTTTATTGAAGGTGATCCTTTTAATAATGGTTGAAGACCACAGACAGAAGAAAAGGTTTTAGTCTGAAGTTAAAGGTTTTCTACTACAATTTATGAAGTGATTTAATGACGATGATCTGGCTTACGTATATCCACTGGAAACCACAGTTCTTCTTATTTATAGTAGCAAGGAAGTGTCCCTACACTAAGAGAGATCTGGATTGCATTTAAATTGCTCTTTTATATTAAATAGGGCCGTGGATCAGGATTCCCAGGGAAGCGGAGACCACGTGGTGCGGGTCTTTCCGGAAGAGGTGGCAGAGGTCGATCAAAACTGAAGAATGGGATTGGGGCTGTTGTCACTCCAGGGGTAAGAACATATCTTTTAAATCATGTATGTAGTTTGGTGTGTAACTTCATTATTCCAGCTCTCATTCTTTTTAGAGAAATTTTTTATCTAAACAAAATAAGTAATGAGAAATCGTTTTGATAACAATCTAGTTTTCATTAAATGTAATTATATATTTTAGTTAAAAATAGGGAATAACCTGTAGCTAATGGATCCAGAACAATTTTACATCATCTACATTCCCTTTTAAAATGACACTGTTGACTTCCACAAGTGGAGGTGACACTAATTAAGGGAGCTTTCACTGGGCACAGTAGACATGAGAAAAACAAGGCCTATACTGGACTGTATCACCTTCTCTTAACCCCATAATAATTCCCCTGAGGGTACTCCAAGGGTATTGGGGAGGTCTATGATAGGGAGCTGCCCATGGAAAGCTCTTCTTCTTAGGGCCCCAATTCAGCAAAGAACATAAGCATGTCCCACTTTAGTTGTGTGAGTTGTCCCATTGGCTTCCTGGAACTACTCACGTGCTTAAAGTTAGGCACATGCTTAAGTACCTTGCTGAATAGGGGCGTAGCTGTTGATATCAACTTGAATATCCACAGCTATTTTAATGCTACAAAGCACTAATTTACACTTACGGAAAAGCCTAATATTTTAATAGGCGTGCAACCAATAGATTTTATAGAAATAATTACTAAAAACTTATAAAATGTAGTAGAAAATATGGTATCCTTTTGGTGTAATTCTGTAAATTGGTCTAAACATAGAAAGGTGGACATTTGCTACTAAATTGTATAGAATTTTTCCATAAAGGCCTAAAGCTTGATACTATGCCCATTGAAGTTAATGACAGCTTTTCAGTTTACTTCAGTGAGCACCAGATCATGCTCTTAGAGAAGATAGATTTTGCATTGAGATGTGATGGCTATACTGTGGTAGCAAGGGGGAAGGTAGCAGTGGAAAGGCACCAGCCATCTCCTGCACCTGGGCTCTTTTCTCCATGGATGGGAATTTATGGCATTAGGAGGTCAAACCCCTTCAACCAACTGATTCCCCTGCCACTGTGTAGGGATGAATAGTTGGCAACTCCATATAGTCAAACTTGCAGAGTTTCTTGGTTCCCACTGTACTACTTTTGGCTACTTTTTCTACAGCAGGGATTTTAGGTCCTAAAATTTTGGCTCGCCTCAAAATTGTGATAATTTGATCCTGCAAATTCCGAAGCTCAAATTCTGCCCTCTGGTGCACAGAAGTATCTCCCATTAAGTTAGTAGGATTTGTGCAAATATCTGAAAGACAGAATTTGACACTAAAGCTATGGAGTGTTTTTCTTTTGTTATATCTGCTATGCTACCAACCCAACACATTTTAAAACACAGAACAATATGCACTCTTTTTTAAAACAGTTCTCAATAAACACTGATCTCTGCTCCCCTGCTGGCTTGCCAGCAACAGTTAATGAAAAAGAATTATTCTTGTAGCTGTGCTGACATCAGTCAGCGTTGCCTCAGAACGATGTTTGGACTGGTGAGATGTTACATGGGTTAAAAATATTGTTTAAGCAGAAACGGCGATGTCAACTTGAGCTTTATGAAGAATGCACTTTAAAAAAATCCATATTTGTCAAATCAAATGTCAGTGGGGAAGATTGGCAGGAAAAGAAAAGTATTCTTTTTCTCAAAGGGTTTTACAGAATCCTTTTGGAGAAGACGCCATAAGTACTATTCCTGAAGGAGATGTCACTGAGCCACGCAAAACGTTTTCGTCCCTAGGACTATGTACTCCATCTTCTAAACTCTCTCAGTTCCTATTGGCTCATAGCGTAAGGGTCCTGGTTGAATCATCTAAACTAGCAGAACATCATATGTAGAGAGATTTGCCTACAGTCAAAACAGCTTAACTGATCATTAATGTTTCCACCTCAGTCTTGAAAAATTATGATAATTATTTTGTTCAACCAAGAGGCAAGGGAAATACACACCTAATTGCTGAATACCAGGCGAAATAGTGCTACTCTTAATCAAAGGAACCTACTGTAGTAGATCCCCTTCATTCAAATAAAAAACAAAGTACTGGAATATCACAATTTTTTGCCCTCTCCTTCTCTGTATTTTTTTTAAAAGCTCTAATATCAGAAGTTGGTAATTCAAGCATTCTATTTAGTGCTGTATCAGATATGATTGAACATGGAAAAAATGTAGTTAGAAATGATTGTTCAAGCTTATGCATTTGAGAAATCCAGTCATAGTATTATGTATTTCTCAGATGTTAGTTGTTTTTCATAGATCTTTGGTCTCCTATGTGTCACTCTCATATGGCGCAGGAGGATAACAAGTTTATGTTTAAATCAGAAAACAGTGAATTGTCTTGCTTTTCTGGGTTTATTTCCCAGACATAATCTTCTAATGAAGGTTTGTTAATATCCTTGGCTTATTTTGGAAGCCTAGTTTATGATTGTTTATGTAACTAATTGTATCTAATGATTGAATCAGTATAAATATATGTAATGATGTAATTATGTGCAATTACAATGTAATATTACATTTTTAAAATTCTTGATGCATTTTGTGAAGAACCATTTTATGCATAACACGTAGCTTTCTAAAGTCTGGCTCAGTTATTTGAAATGAAATAACTATGTCTTAAGGTCTAAAAATAGGGAAAAATTGTTTAAAATAACATGAAAACATTGAGTTACAGAAGCATAAAAACACATTTTAAAAGTCCTAATATCTGTCTGGGGGCTTTGTGTATTGCCTTCATATAATCTAGATGCTTAAATTGATTTTTGGGGGGTGGGGTCCTCTGTTTTGAGGAAAAAAATTTGCTTATCGGCTGTGGTCTAAATGTCTGTGCAAAATTTTCAACCCAGAATTAATTTTCACAGTCACATTATAAAACCCTATAGAAACCCATGAATGGGCACAGTTGCACAACCTTAACTGCTATCCATCATGTCTTTAATACAACTGGAGCACTTGTCTAAATCAAGTATATAAAAAAGTAGGTAATATATAATTTGCTTCAGCTTCATTGTTCTTCAATTATGGGTATATACCATACCTTTAATATTAAAATGTGCTATTAAATGGACTTTATGTTTATTAATAAGCACGAAAACCTGCAAATTTAGCATATTCAGATAAACTTCTGTTTAGCAAAAAGTGCATTTCTCTCAACCTGTTTACTGCCTTCCCATTTCTCCCATGTGGATCCCAAGATGCATAAGAGGTACTATCTGGAGGAAGGGGGAAGAGAGACTGCTGCAGAAACATTTGACATCTCTTTCTTTGTGGTGAGCGAAAGTTAAGCAGAAGGGACCCTCCACATGATTGGAAAAAATGGTACAATGTGGCCACCAGTGTGTAACTTCTGGCAAATGTGGATTTTACTGGTGATTACTTTGTATTAATAAATATTTGCCTGGTTTCCTGATGAATACCCAGAAATACAGCTCTTGAAACCAGCAAATGTTTTTTACAGTTTACAATGGTTTGTATGTATTTATGTTCTGAAATACTGTACTCCTTATTCAGTTCCAGAAGGACAGTAGTAAACCAAGTGAAAAGTTTGTATCTTCAAGCTATGAAAATATATTCACATGATGTTGTTTTTTGTAGGTCACAACCATGGATGTTTCATCTAACAAAGACGAGGAAGAAAACTCGATGCATAATACAGTTGTACTATTTTCTAGCAGTGACAAGTTTACTTTACATCAGGTTGGGATACCAGTTACTCTGATTGTTGTAATGAAAAAGGAATTAATGTCTTTGTTATGAGCTGAATTATCCAATATACGGGTGGGGTTTTACTTTAGAGCAGCTGCATAGTTTTGGATGTTAGTGTATTGGCCCATCTTTGAAAACTGTTCTTTCTGTCGTTCTAGGATATGTGTGTAGTTTGCGGGAGTTTTGGCCAGGGTGCAGAGGGCAGGTTGCTTGCATGCTCTCAGTGTGGTCAGTGTTACCATCCCTACTGTGTCAGTATTAAGGTAAGTGCTTTGTTACATTAAAATTATTTGACAACATTGTTTGCATATTGTACTTGAATAGCACTTCATTGCTTCCAGTTTTGTCATAATTAGGAGAGTCATTAACTTGTTAAATATTCTTCAGCTAATATGACCATTATTTGTATGCAACTTGTGAAAGACTTTAATTAAATGTCATTTTATAGTATACGCTGCCTCAAGAGAAATTAACCTTCTTTCTAATTTCACAGCCATAAATAGCACTTATTAATCTAGCAGTTGGTTAAAATAACACATTGAAATGTAAGCTTAAAATCTTAACACAAGCAGAATTTTTTAAAGAAAGAAATTATAGTGCAACTTCATTTGCTAGGGTGTCAGGTTTAGTTGATTCAATTTGTCTGTTGGCTGTCAGAATTGATAGCAACTGGAGTAGTTAATACATTTCAGATTCATTAGTTTAGGAGAGAATGTGAGAAAATTAAATTTGAATGGTATGAGATGACTTAGCAAGCACATAATAAGCTATTTACTGCAGCATATAAACTATAAACTGTCTGTTGCTCATTATATAAGTGCAGTTATGTAAAATGTGGGTGTTTTTAAAGATACCACTGGGTTTTACTTTGCTTTTACATGTGCTTTATGAAATGCTGTGTGCATTTTTCATGAGAATATAATTTGGTTTTGCATTCAGATGATACTCTTCAATGATATTTTAAATAACTTTAAATAGATGATTTGGTTCTACTCACTAAAACCGCAGAGTTAGGCCTCACAAAGAATTTGGAATGAACCAGGATTTTTTAATGAGTTCCATCTTGGCTTTGCTACAGGCAACGTATTGTTGCACTTCCCCATGAGCAGTCGGGGAAAAAGCTTGTGACTCCCCTTGCTCCAAGGAGGGAGTAAACTGCACTGGGTATAGACCCCAGTACAGCCTATGTTCCTTGACATGCTGCTGAGCTCTATCCAGAACCTGCGCTCTACCCAGTCCTTCCCCATTCTGCTACTTTCCCCACCCACCTGCTCAAGTAGGGGATATATAGCAGCTTTGAAAAGCTTGCTTCCCTTCCTGCGTTGCTACCAGTGATGCAGATAATCAGCACAGGTGCAGCATCTCTTTACACCTCTACCTAGCCAGATCAGCATTGGGCCCAATGTTTGCTATATTGAAATAAATGTATACAACATTTAAAGCTTGTACAGTTGTTTGGGAATAAGTTGCACACTGCCTTCCTATCTGCAGATTACTAAGGTGGTGCTCAGTAAAGGCTGGAGGTGCCTGGAGTGCACAGTGTGTGAAGCCTGTGGGAAAGCTACAGATCCAGGAAGACTGCTTCTCTGTGATGACTGTGACATCAGCTACCACACTTACTGCCTAGATCCCCCACTGCAGACAGTTCCCAAAGGAGGATGGAAGTGCAAATGGTGTGTTTGGTTCTGGTGTCAGAAATGTTTACTGTTATCCCTTTTTCATTTTACTGTATTTAAAACTATTATTGATATATTTCAGCTAAGTATTTTCAATGTCAGTTTAACCATAATTTCTCATTTAATTCAAATAATGTTTGAGGGCAAGCATATATTGAACAAAAACACCTACCAGATTTTTTCTTTGATCAGACACAATTTAATGTGGAAATCATTATCTTCCATTAATACTGTGTATTGTGCCAAGGATGCTGCGAGTGCAGACAATCTTACTTTGAACCCAAGACAATAAAGACATTCTTGTTTGTGTTTTGCAGGTGTGTTTGGTGCAGGCACTGTGGAGCAACTTCTCCTGGTCTAAGATGTGAATGGCAAAACAATTACACGCAGTGTGCTCCTTGTGCAAGTTTATCTAACTGCCCAGTCTGCTTTCGCAATTATAGGGAAGAAGAGCTCATTCTTCAGTGTAGGCAATGTGATAGGTAAGAGTTTCTAACATTTTCTGAAATTATTTCCCATGAGTTACATTTTACCCTAATGATGTAACATGGTAAGGATGGTAGGAAGGTTTGTCTTGTGGTGAAACCAGCTGAAGTGGGACTCAGAATAGATTAATTCATTTCCCAGTATTGCCACAGATTTCCTGTGTGAGTCTGGGCAAATTACTAAATTTCTCTGTGTCTTGGTTCTCTATCTTGAAAAGTGATATTTGCCTACCTCACAGAGTTGTTCTGACTATAAATCTGTAAGTACTCAGCAGAGTATCATATAAATAGATAAGAACAAAATAGACCATCACATATACAGGCAAAGCAATGCTAAAAAGTGTCTGCAACACAAATATAGTTTTCCTTCTTATTAAGGGTGACAATGTGAGGGAGTGTATACAGTATTTAAACACATGTACAGGAAAAAGCATACACCGAGAACATAGATCATCATTGTTTCTTCCTAAAATAATCAAATTATATAAATATTTCCCTTTATTTATTATTACCTCAAAAACCATATACTGATATTTGGGTCTCTTAAGATGTTAGCCATTTCCTTTAAATTGTATTTCTCCCCCCCCCCCCCCATTTAATTTCTAGATGGATGCATGCAATCTGTCAGAATTTAAACACAGAAGAGGAAGTGGAAAGCATAGCTGATATTGGTTTTGACTGTACCATGTGTAGGCCATACATACCACCAACAAACGGTAAGAGGACTTTCGAAACTAATGACTTGGCAGCAGTGCACAATGCAATAGAGTAGGTTTGGGAATGTTTTTATGGTTCTGTGCTATGGTTGGTAAAGTCCTGGATCATTGCAGAACGGAGGCTTTCCAATTTTTAGAGGCTAGTTCTTTAGCACCCCATAATGACTGACTGCAGGAGCACCATTGCAGCATCAGGAAAGATTTAGCAGATTGTCAGCGGTTGAGTTATGTGATCTAGAGGGGGGAATATGAACAATTTATTGAAGATGGGTTGGGTAAATACCCATAAGCCCTATGTGAGCTGGAGATCTGTTTCAAATCCATGGTGTTGGAAAGATGAAACACAGCTCAACTTCCCAGCTATCAAGTGGGAAAAAAGAATTCCGATTCCTTAAAGATATTTGCACAAGAATCTCAGCTTCAAGTTCCAGACAGGGCAAACCTCTCTGAACTTAACACTTTCAGGCCTTCTGAGGTAGCAGTAGTGGTATCTAGAGTGTACATGACCTTTCCTCTATCTTACACAATCACACACTGCTAATGCCACTACTTCCGCCCCTAGAACTTTGTAGCCAGTTCCTTCTTGACTCCTGTCAGTGAAAGAACTCTCTACAGGAGTAGCATCCAAATCACTTAACTGCTGCAGCCATGCTCTCTCCCTGTTACAGTATTGCCAAACTGAAGAGATGAAAAATCATGAGTCGCGCTCCCTTAAGAGATCAAAAGTCTTGAGTCCAATCCCCAAAAATCATGAGACTGTTCCAAAAATAATGATTTAAAAAAAAATGAATTGGGGCGGGGTGGTTGTCTGTCATTTGATTTTTGAACCCCTCCCCCTGCCCATCCCCTGTGTGCGTGAGCAAGTGAGACAATATTGTCAACATTTAATCTCTCAAGTTTATTGGGAAAGTGATTTTGGTCTCTGCCAAAGGAGCTCTCACCTCCACATCTGCCCATCCCCAGCCCAGCAATTCATTCTGCACCCCATCAGTTCAGCTCTCCCTCAGTTCATTTCCCTAGTCCCCTGTCCTTCAGTTCTGCCTCCCATCAGCTCACCTCCCGACACTTAGTTCTACCCCCCAGCTTCTGTGCTTTTATTGGGGTTCTTCAGCCTCTTTCCCCAGGCCTCGGGGGGCTGCAGCAGGTCCTCTACTTCCCCTTCTAGGCAGGGAAGGAGCAACTCCTTCCTAGGCTGGATGTTGCAAGTAGGGGGGAGGAGCAGAGGTACCCTACTGTTGCTCACAGGTAAGAGGGGAAGGAAAGATTGGAGCTGCCCTGGGCTCTTTACATCCTTCCTTCCCCCTGCCCTCCTGTGAGAATGGTTTTGGGCTGCTGAGGGGATGGAGGGGAGAGCTCTCCCTGCAGTAGCACTGATTGGTTATTCTGCCCCAGGAGGCTGGCAAGTGACAAGAGGCATAAAGCTTTTTGCGGCAAAGTGTCAGTGTACACGCTGCTGTTCGTTGTATCACCATAACTAGCCTCCCCCAGTATCCCACAATGCTTGCCGTGACCGCATCTCATCTGTTTTGAACTCATCTGCCCTGCAAGCATGCCCTCCTCTCCTTTCAAAGCTCCCAGAAGTTCTGACAGCTGAGTATGCCGCTCAGCTCCAGCAACAAAGCAAATCATTAACATGAAGTGCTCCTGCTCTCTCCCGTACTACAAACAAAGAGGCAGGCAGGGGCGGATGTGTGTGTATGTGAGAGGCTGTTGTACTGGCAGAGCCAGGGAGGGAGGCCGGGGCTGATGTTAGAGGTATCCTCCTTGAAAAGCGGCTGGCAATCTAGTAGGGTGCCCGTGGAATGATGGGACTGAGAAACCTGTATCATGTGTTGCTGTACCTGCCCTATGAGGCATTGCAAACCCTTCCCAAATCATCTTGCGGCCACTTGCACAGTGGGATAGCTACCCACAGTGCACTGTTCTCTGTGTGGATGCAAGAGGTGCTAGTGTGGATGCGCTCTGCTGACACAAGGAGCATAACGTGTACATGCAATAGCAGTTTAATTAAAGCGGCATTGCTTTTGGCGACAAAACTCTGCAGTGTAGACATAGCCTAACTGCTCTCTCTGTCATCCATCTGTACTCTGACCTTAATTACCTTTTTTCCACTGTTACTCAACTCTGCATATCTTTCGCCACCTTTAAAGACTCCTCCCTAAACACTGTCTTTGTCTGTTTTACCCAAATAAATTTGTGATTTGGGGCTGAGCTTGCTGTAGTTCTCCCTTTTGGCGAGAAGAATATCCTTGAACACGATTCCATTTCTGTCTCCATCCTCAGTTCAGATCTGCCATTTCTCTCTATTGTCTGTATTAATCTTCTTATCTCGGGTATCTGTAAATCTGTCTATTGCCACTGTCAAAACATAATTTGTTTGTGAAACTTCCTTGACTTCGTCTCTAGAGACTTCACCTTTGCCATCATTAACTGTTTGACTATTGCACCTCTTTCCTAATTGACTTCCACAAGCCCCAAGTCTCCACACTGCAGCGTGTACATGAATACCACTGCCCATTGTCTTGCTTATCAGTGAAACGTATCAAATCACCCCATCCTAAATCACCTCTATTGGTTTCCTGTTTACTTCAGTTCCAGTTCAAAATTGCCCTTTTTGTTTTAAAACACTCTGTGGACTAGATCAATTGAGCTCATATGTGAAGTCTGACGCTACTGACCTTCCCACTCCACTCATTAGTATCTGCCTGCTTCTGTCCTTTCCTGTAATCTCACTGGAGCTACTAGTACCTTTCCTCCTGCAGTTTTCCTGTTTTCCCTCTATCTCATCATTTCAAAACCTATTTCCAAATTTCATCTTCAAATTTCATCTTTTCTTCCTTACTTTTTCCTGTTCATTTCTGACTCTTGTGTATGTCACTTAATTTCTTCCTCCCACTGTTGTGGGCTTGTTGATGGATCACTTTAAGTTATTAATAAAAGTGCTTAGCTAATTATTTTGTGATTTGTACCATATAGCATTCTAGGATTGTCTGTAATTCTGGCATAATATAATTACAGCTTGTGTAAATGACACTGACATAAAATAAAGTTGTGTTGCATAAACGTATTATTCTGTGATATTTTTAAGGGAGGCTTGTTAATTTGTTCAGGCCAAACTTTCACTGGTCTTAATTTTTTGAATATTTTCTATGCGGATTATTCTCTAGATTCTAAATATTTTCCTTTTTATCAGTTTATTCTCTATTTTGATAAGAAAATAAAAACAAAAAGCTGCTATTTCAGCAACTTATATATAAACACGTAAGCTGACTTCAAGTTCCATAATTGTGCGTATGCAGAGATAGGTGGTTTCTTGTGTGGCTAGGTCCCAAATCAAATAGAAGCAACTACATTCTCCTCCAGCTATTCTTTCTGCATAGCCCTCTAGGGTTGCCCCATGTAACATTTCTGTCTGGAGGTCACAGAAATCTAGATAACAGGAAAGGAGTGGTCATAATTGTTATATTAAATTAATATGGAGAAAAAGTACTTCCAAGTCCCAAAATAGTATCCCATAACTGTGGACCTCCTTGTTTGTTGTTTATACAACACCATAGGTGTGCATGGTGCTTTACAATCCTTGGTCTGAGTTGCTGACACTCTAAATCAGTCACAAGAGTGGACACTATCTCTGCCATACTTGGTAGATAGATGTTTCCCTCAACCCAGTAACATCACTTCCAGATTGAATTTCTGCCAATTCACTTTTATTCATGTTCCTATCTTGAAAAATGGTCTAACTGCTCCATCTGAGTTTTACAAGAGACCTAGAGTAGCATGTTCTCTGTATTAGAGCCTCACTTTCTCTCACAATAGCCTCACATGCACATTGTACAATAAGGCTGACAGGAGAGAGCCCTCTGAAATCCCACATGTGGGAGCCCTCGGGGACAACGAATGATTGCCCAGTGTAGTTCTCTGGGAATTCTTTGGAAAGAAAGGAATCACTGCTCTGTGATACCGCCCAGCCCAGCCATAATGCACGATCAGGTTGTCAAAACCTTGCTGTCACCAGTAAACGGCTTGACAATGTAAAAGATCCATTGTACTTACCTGCTCATTGTCCATTAGTAGGAGATCACAACCAATGTAGTCTCCATACCATACATGGGTCTGGGAAATCTTCAGTGTTCCAGGTGACCCCAGAGTTGCTTGTTAGCCATCTTTTCAATGATGTTGGGAATGCAACCAGAATAATCATTTTATTTGTAAGGTTCTAGGCGCGTGTTGCCAATAATATAAAAGAGAGAGTATAAAAAAAAAGTGTAAAAGAAAATTAGTTGACATTGTCACCTTAAATCAATTCTGCACTATCCGAATAAATGAATTATTTGATTTTATTTAAACTCACTACATTTTATTTTTCAGTACCTTCCTCAGACTGCTGTGACCCATCAATTGCAGCTCAGATTGTTTCAAAAGTAAAAGAACTAGGTAATTTTTTAAAAAATGCTTAATCTTTTGATTATCTAGAATAATTTTAGCTGATATTTTTATTTGGAACATAGAAATTGTTTTCTCTATGATTTTATCAGAGATTCACCACTAAGAATCCTTTCTCGGTGTAATGTTTAGTGTTTCCCTTGTCCTCCCTTCTCTTTATATTCTATTATTTGTCCCACCCAGTTTGTTACAATTATCTTAAATTAGGCACTGAGCCTGCAGAAATTTAAGCACGTGCTTAACTTGAAGCTCATGAGTAAACAATAAATAATCCCACTGATAACAAGTAATCTCATTTAAATCATTGGGGCTATTCATTTCATGTGCTTTAAAATTAAGCATGCCCATAAGTGATTGAAGAATCAGGACCTTAGCCTGTAAACTCTTCAGGGCTTCCTGTGTTTGTAAAGTGCCTAGTACAAGATGGGCCCAATCTTGACTGGGGCCTGTGGGTGCCACAGCAATTACTGTTATTTGTATATACTAGCACCCGGAGGTCTCAATCAAGCCCCATTATGTTTGATGCTGTACTTACATATAGTAGAAGTCGGTACCTATTGCAAGGAATTTTCTGTCTTAAAAAGAGCTTGCAATCTATAAAAAAAAATTGATGCAACAGAATTGTTGTACAATACAATGAATAAAAATGTTGCTGTAAATATTTGGGTTATTTCTTCACTAGAGAAATGTCTCTTTAATAAATGATTCTATGCACAAATCACCTGTAGATGTGCCATTTTGGGATGTTGTGTAAGAAGACATTTTTGTTCATTTGTTTAAAAGGAGTGAATTTTACTGTTTGTGATATTGAAATATCTGTTAGAGCTATGTTATCCAGACGGTATTTAATTAGCCTTACTGGTGATTACCATTATCGTGCTGTTTGCCTTTGTATCACCCCTGAATGAAGGTAACCAAACTTGGACTCTGCTGATCACCAGAGGAAAAGAATTTGAGTCAAGGATCCCTGCCTACATTGAGAACTAGGGACTGTCAGCACATGCTTATCACTACACCTCAGTAGCCTTGTCACGTCACTGGAGAGAGGCAGTCTCACAGGTCTCAAGAAACCTGGGTTAAATTCCTGGCTGAGAGTTTGTCTACAGTTGAAATGCAGTTGAAATGCTGTAGTGCCTCAGTGTAGACACTACCTACACCGACTGGAGGGGTTCTTCCATTGGTGTAATTAATCCACCTCCCTGATAAGTGGTAGCGAGGTCGACAGAATTCTTCCATCGACCTAGCATTGCCTGCACCAGGGATTAGGTCAGTTTAATTACGTCACTTTTTTCATCCCCCACAAGCAATGTAGCTGGGTCGACCTAACTTTTTAGTGTAGACCAGGCCTCACCCACAGACTTCTACGTGACTTTGGGAAAGTAACTTAATCTACCCTGCCCTTCAGCTCTTCTTCTGCAAAATGGGGATAATTCTTCCCTACCTCACAAGGGTTTTGTGAAGATAAAATTTATTAACAGTCATGAGACATTCCAATACTACCATGCTTGAAGATCACATAAGTATCTAGGTAGACAGTTGGATAGACAAGTAGCAGAGACCAAAAAGATAAGACTTGTCTAGTTATATGAGTATGTCAGGTAGGAGTCCAGCTCTGGATACCTTTTGAAGACATCAGTTGCTGTAATGCAAACATTCTTTTTAATGAGTTCTTGCAGTGTGTCATGTTGTGTTACTGTATTTGACATTACACTGTAAATTATAAAGCTTTGTCTTTAATTTATAAGAGAGTGTCAGGTACCTCTGTATTATTTATACTGATATCCTTCAAGTTCTAGTGCTTAGAATCTATCATGCTTTGACATACATGTGTATGGTTAACTCTTTAAAGAAGTGTTTAAATAATTCATCCAAGACTTGAGTCAAAGTATAAAGAGTTTTATATTCCTGTTATGATTCATGTAATTTGTATAGACCCACCGAAGACATATACCCAAGATGGAGTCTGTTTGACAGAATTGGGGATGTCTCAGTTACAGAGCCTCACTGTTACAGTACCAAGAAGAAAACGGACAAAACCAAAACTTAAGTTGAAGATTATAAACCAGAACAGTGTAGCTGTGCTACAGACACCACCAGATATCCAATCAGAGCATTCCAGAGATGGAGAGATGGATGACAGTAGAGGTAATGGTCAGTATGTGGCATATTTTCAGTTTGATATTTATTGCAATTCATGCATATATTTGTACACGTGGCCATATTTTAAATGTATTGTTTACTACTCATATAGGTGCTTCTATTTCACTCTAGTGCTAAATGGTTAAGATGGACTAACTGCAAAACGTGACTGTTGGTGTTCATAGCTGTCCATTTCAAGGAGATGGACCTTCCTATTACTTTTGTTCGTGTGTCATCTATCCCATACAGAAACCATGTCTTTAAGACTAACAACAGGGGCAGAATAGAAGGTCAGGCTGCCCTTCCATAGAACACCAGCACTACAATTGAAAATTTTGCACACTATGGGGAGTACACAGTGCACTTTGAGACTCTCAGACCCAGAGCAAATGCTGTTAGAAAGTTGTAGTCCCAGGGCTTAACAAAGATACATCGAGACTTCTTGGTCTCTGTCAAATGTGATGCTCAAAAGTAAGGGTGAGATAGCATAAAAGGGTACTCAGGGATAGTTGAATTTCTTGAGGGGGTGGGGGGGTCTCAACTCATCCTTCTCTACGGCATGGAATTTCCATTTCTGACAGAGAAGAAGGTGTTGACCCCAGTCTGAAGCAACACATCCTTTTACTTCCCTGGCCAAGTGAGCTTTTGTTTGACTCCATAATCCCAGACAGGACAGAAATTGGATTGGAAAATGAATCACATAGTTAATTTGTATCTGGTTTAAATGGAGTCCACTGTACATTCTGATAACTGTATTGTGGACTATTATGTTAATCCTAAACCTGAGGAAAGGCTAACTAAATACAGGTGTGAAAGTCAGGAAATAAATTACACAAGTGTCTATTAAAAGTGGAATGCAGACACCCCACCTCACCACACTCTGAAATGCTTTCTGTTTACGCAACATTGTCTTGCTGTTAATCAGATTAAATGTCATAAGAGGCTTTTTGTAGATACAGAGTGTTCTTGAGATAGAGTGATTTAACTCTAGTATGGTCTCATGTTAAGTTGTTGATATAAGTAGCATGGCAGTTGTTTGATTGGCGTATCCTTAATCATGATCTGTTGTTGGCTGGAAGAAATGTGTATTTTATGATATATGTTTGTTTGTTACTTTTAAATGATGGAGTGATCACTTTTCTCTTGCTTTGTTTGTGATTCATAGATTCATAGAGTTTAAAGCCACAATGACTCCAAGATCTCTTTCTTGAGTGGTAACCGCTAATTTAAACCTCATCATTTTATATGTATAGTTGGGATTGTGTTTTCCAATGTGCATTACTTTGCATTTATCAACACTGAATTTCATCTGCCATTTTGTTGCCCAGTCACCCAGTTTTGTGAGATCCTTTTTTAGCTCTTTGCGGTCTGCTTGGGACTTAACTATCTTGAGTAGTTTTGTATCATTTGCAAATTTTGCCACCTCACTGTTTACCCCTTTTTCCAGATCATTTATGAATACATTAAATCGGACTGGTCCCAGTACAGACCACTGGGGGACACCACTATTTACCTCTGTCCATTCTGAAAAGTGACCATTTATTCCTACCCTTTGTTTCCTATCTTTTAACCAGTTACCAATCCATGAGAGGATCTTCCCTCTTATGATATATTAGATCATCTAGTCTGACCTCCAGTATATCAGAAGACCTTAAATTCACCCTGTATTGAGCCCAACAACTTGTGTTTGATTAAAACATATCTCCCAGAAAGACATCCAGTCTTGATTTGAAAACTTCAGGAGAGAGAAAATCCACCACTTCAATTAGTAGTTTGTTCCAATGGTTAATCATCCTGGCTGTTTGTTTAAATTTTGTATCTTAATATCAGTTCAAAATTTGTCTGGATTCAGCTTCCAGACATTCGTTCTTGTTATGCCTTTCTCTGCTAGATTAAACACCTTTAGTGCTTTGTATTTTCTCCCTGTTAAGGCACTGTAATCAAGTCACCTCTCAATCTTCTTTTTGATAACAGATATAATGTAATGCACATAGTATGGCAGTGGAATAGGGGATCTAACTTTTTGTTCTGATTTCAGTTCTCATCCCCTCAGCTATATTTTTTTCATTAAGTGATTGTAATAAAATGTTTCAATGTATTTGAAAACTGGCCTGGCTTTAGGTGCGTTAAAAAGCCTCAGAATGGCTCTTTAGTTAATATCTGTAGACCTGTGCTTTGAAAAGAAACTAGGAAACCCTGAACATACTGCACAGAGGATCTTTTGGGTACCCAAAAAAACTTGGTTCCTTGCTGGGGCTGGAAGTTTTGTTGAGAGGACTTGTTCATCCTCTAAAGTGTAGAGAAAATAACTACATGTTACTCAATAGAGACTCCCTGGCCAGTCCAAAAGTAGGGCTGATAGACGTCAGAAGGAGTCCTATCCAGTTAAAAGGTCTGGTCAGGAGCTCAGCCTTTGGGAGTAAGGCATATGGTTGCTAGAAATGAGAGAATCTCAGTTGCCTTCATTACTCAGCAGCATAAATAGACTGCACAGAGATGCATTTCTTAAAAATTATGTATTTCTTTTTCAATGTATGTGTGTTTAATGTTGTAAGCATGTATTGAAGCAACCTTGCAAAATTACCATGAAATGTAACCAGCTCATGCACAGCATTTACTTTTCCCACCCTTTACAATAATGGTTGATAACACTGCTCTACAGCCAAAATGCTTCTGAAATAAATGTAGTCAAACTTTACTAATTCTGGGTCACTGAGAACGAAAATGATGCTTAAAATTGTTGATTGCCTATAGTTTTCAAGATATGCTATTGGGTCAGTATATATGACCCTTGACTTGGGAATGGCGGAGGATAAGTGAGTTATAAAGGGAAGGGATCTCAATTTAAACCAGAAATGACTAAAATACATCTTTGACTGGATCTATGAATAAATCTATGACTGGGTTTGGACAGTACTTGCTTTTTAGGCAAAACAATGAATGTTGCAATCTGAAGCTGGTATTGCGTCATACATGATATGAATTGCATCATGTTATTCCTAGAAGTCATGGATGATGCAATCATAACGAAGCCTACATCACTCTGCTGGACAAATTGCCCTATATCAGCCCTAGAAATCATACAGTGTT